TCTTGGCCCCGCGGAGAGGATGGGACCATCGAACGTCTCGCGTTGTCCCCTTATCACAGGGCACAGCCACCAGCTTTTCCACGTGTGCGGCGTCCTGGGCACGCACTTCCAGATGGAGGCCATCCGCGTGGACATGGCCCAGCGGCACGGCGGGATCCCGGCCAACTCGGCGCTCCAGAGCCTGGTTCCGATGGGCATCGGCGCGGCCGCGGCCCTAGGCATCGTCGCGCTCTGCTCGGCCTCCCCCAGCCCCAAGCCCAGGGAAAAGCCGCACTAGGGCCCCGGCTCCGCCTCGGGATCCTCCTCATTTCTCCCTGTTTTTTTTTTCCTGGGGGAGAAGCCCAGGGAAGAGAATCCCCGTGCACGTGGTGGGGATGAGGATGGATTTACTCGCACACGCTCTTTGAGAAAACGCGTATTTGGAAATTCTCAAGACGTTCTATATTGCACTGCTCTTTGTATCGCTTTGAAGATGGAACCAGGTTACGAAATGCTTTTAATCAAGCTGATCGCTCACAACAGCAACAAAATGCTTGTAATAATCTTGTTTTTATTCTGCTACTGGTTTCCAAAGCAATAGGCATTCACCGGTTCTGCCTTATGGAGGAGCGGGGAGATGGGTGAAATGTTGGACCCCTGGTGACATGAATGTCCTTGGGACCGATGTAAACTGGAAGCAGAACCTCGGGATCGATTTAAACTGGAAGCAGAACCTCGGCCGTGTGGAAATCAATGCACCCGTGTTGGTGGGCGCCGTGCCGACGGGCGGCTCCGCACCCAGCTCCCCTGGGGCTTTTCCAGGTTTTCTCCAGTGGATTCTGCATTCCACGGGGGTGAGATCCCACCCTGTGGAGGTGTGCAGCAAGCTCCCACCCATTCCCTGCATCGCCGGACACGGCCGAGCGGGATCACTAGGACAGGTCGGCGATCCGACTCCTCCGCTCCCGAGTTGGTGCTTTACCTCCAAGAGGAATATCCCTTAAGGGAGGCTAAAACCCACGTATCCATCACCCGCTGCCTTGCGCTGAACTGAAGTGCCTAACAAATACATTAGCGCGACCAGAGCCATCAAATTCCTCGGAATTTTTGGGATAGCCTCTGCTGTGAGGATGCCTGTGACAAGCGGTCACGTTGGACCGATCTAGTAAAGCGTAGCAGGTCCATGAACGTTTTGGAACACAAAAATCACTGCCTTGGAATGCTCTCGAGCTTCCTGATAATCATACGGGTGGATAATTTGTTTTCTGTATAATTACTTCTCTTAAGGTATAATAGATGTGCTTCTGAGTGATAATACAGCAGCCCTTTAAATACATTGTGGGACAAGCAAGTCTTTTGAAAAGAAGCTTTCTTTTGAAAGCTGACCAAGGTTTATATTAATATTTATAAGCGCTGGGACATAATTGTTTATTCAACAGTTTTATTTCATTAAAAGGGAAAACTAATATAATTATGGCACTGATACATGCTAACCTGATTTGGGTGATTCATAAAAACAGTGTCTGTGAAAACAACCACTTCAAGGATAATTGCTAGTAATTGCAAATTATTTACCTTGTATACACGTGTAACTGGAAAGGAATCTGGCTTTGTATGCAAGAAGTGATTTAAGAGTCTCTAAAATTTACATTAATTTATTATATTTTTTCTTGGTAGTTTTAACTTTCGAATATGGGAAGTCTTCTTGTCTTCTTCACATGCAACATCTATTAAATATATCAGGAAACTACACTAAAAATATAGCACTATTTTATGCACTGTCCTAGTCCTTGCAGAGCCTGCAGCACTATGCAAGCCTAATAGCTACTTTGCACACTAAAGGAGTGAATGTTGTTTGATCTTGAGCTTAGCAGTGTAGCTAAGCCAGGTTTCTCCCTCAGTTGGAGCTATGCCTTCCAAAAACTGTTTTATGTACTAAGCTTTATGCACTTAAAAAGAAATAAAATCTGTGTGCCAAATTGTTACATGTAAATAATACAAGATATTTATTTGTTTGAGCATGTTGTTGCGTTGTGTCTGTGCCCTTTCCTCTGTAACACTGCACGGGCTTCTGAATTCAGCATTAGTTTATCCTGAACTCCAGTTTTCAATGTCCAACCGCTATAATTCCCTACTATAATCAACGGGCTGCATCTTACTCATAGGCCACGGATTTAACTCTTGCATCTTATGAAAAAGTTACTGGAAAGTGAGACTTTCCTATTTGGTCCTTTTCCACTTCGCATTGACTGAATCCTAGGTCTTATCACGACACAAAAGTTCCTTTGGATGAAGGTAAGTCGCAAATATGAATATTTGCATATGCAAATATGAATATTTGCATGTCTTTCTCCAAAGCTGCGTAATGTAGAAAACAGATTAGAATAATTTGAGTTAGGGTATGAGTTAGTCTGCCAGGGGACAGGGAGCATCTTCTGGAATTCCTCGCGCGTGGTGACGCCGCAGTGTCCCCAAGGCCACCACACGTGCCCGGAGCCATTTCTTGCCCCCCGTCCAGGTTGTCCTGCTCCCTTTGCTCGTGGAGGTTTCCAATCAGGCTCCTGGCTCCTGCCCTTAGGCCGGGTAACTGGCATGGAGCTTTTCTGGCCTCTTTTTTTCACCTACAGAGAGACAGGAGCCCGTGGCCAACTCGGAACAAACCCGTCCTGGGTGTTTGTCGTTGCCTGTCTGCGTCACCTTGGCGTTTCACGTTGTAGTGCGGCTGTATCTTCAGTTTGCTGGAATTGGCAGGTCCTTTTTTAAGCAACCTTTCTCTCTGTGATGGCGTTAAGTCGTGCTCTCACCCACACGGCACCTATCGTTCCCCAGGCACGTGTAAATACGCCGGTTTTACCTTCCAAAGCCCTAAGCAGTTTGGGATCTCCAAGAAATAGCACCGTGGGACACTGCAGCAGCAGGAGTTTTTGCTTTGAGGCGGCAGTGCAGCCTTAGGTGCTTTATTTATTTATTTATCTACTTATTTATGTATTTGTTGGGTAGTTCCCCGGGTTTTTGCAATTTTGTTTGTTTTTGAGGGTGACAACCCCATGGCGCCTGCGCTTAGGGCACCGTGTGGGACCCATGTCGGCTTGTGAGGTGCAGTGTGATGGTAGGAACACACACACGGCACCACGTGCAGGTTTGATTTCCCTTGTGCCGTTCACGGGTGTTACAAGCATGTGTCTGCTTCCATGTATTTTAAAACGCTCTTGTGGAGGAATTGTTTGAAAGCAGGAACTGAGAGGAAAACGAGGGCCTAACAGAAGTTTGGGCATTCCAGAAGCTCGCTTGGGGTGATAATGCAGTTGCCACTTCCAGGATGGTTGGTACATACGGATTCTGCTCCTCCACGGTTCCTTAGACAACACAACCTCCCTCCTCGCAGCTGCAAAGGGGAGTAACGGAGGATGGAGCGGAGTGAAGACACCGCGGCCAAATTCTGTTGCATTCGCTGTGCTGGGCCGCTGAGGAGCCCCATGTAGCTCTCTAATGGGAGACATCTGATAAAATGCCCAGTGCTGAGCCAGTAAAGGTGGCAATTCACTCCTTTGGGATGAACTTTGCTTGAACTTTGCTCGTTATAATGTCAAAACACACCTCTAGCCCCAGAGTTACCCGCCTCCGAGGTACGACCGCTCCTCATCGCCTCACTGAGCATGCGCTCTAGATTTTCGATTGCCTGTACCTTTAAATGAAAGTGAGAAACTTTTTCATCAATCAGTATTAAGTATGACTATAGTCACTCAAGCTCCACCTGAATGTGAAGAAAATATAAAAAATGAACTAAGGAGGAAAAAGATGAGGAGTGAAGAATCCATCATAACTCCTGGGTCAGTTGACAGACTGATCTCCCTTTCCTCCCCTGGGGTCGGGACGCTGCTTGAGGAGACTTAGAAATGAGAGGGAAGATTCCATCACAAATTTTGGATCAGTCAACAGGCTGATCCCCCTATCCTCCCCTTGGGTTGGGACGCCGCCTGAGGAGACTCCTTGAGACTGAGAGCCCTCTGCTGCCTTCTGGGGTGAGTGATGACTGCACATTTGTACATCAGAACTAGCTAAAAGCCCCACGCTGTAGTAGAGAATTTCCTGTACTGACACCCGAAACCTGCTTTGTAAATGTTGCATTGGAATAAATCCCGCTGTTCGTGAACTCAACTGCTTGTTTGGGGGAGGCAATCGGACCTGCGATCCACGGACTGTTCGTGAATCCGATACTGCCAGAGTCGAGCTTATAGGTGATCACACTATTTGGGAACTCGATTCGCTCCTAGGAAGGTGATTGGACCTACGTTCCACAGACTGTTTGTGAATCCGATACCGATTTGATATCTCCATCCACCACTACCACTACGGCTTTCAAACTGCAACATTTCACAGCTCTTTAAGAACAGACGGCTGCCCAGAGCACTGAGAAGGCGGCTGTGCAACCAGAAGGGCTCAGTGCCGGCTCTACGTTCCCCCCTTTGCGGTGTTTCGCGGCGGGGGCCGCTCCGGTGCCGCTGCTCGAGGCCGGGCCTAGCCCGCGCCCCGCCGCCATCCCGCCGGGCGTCACCATGGCAACGCGCCCGGGGCGTCGCCATGGCGACACGTGCCCCCCCGCCCCACCAACACTGCGTCACAACGCGCGGGCGCGGTGACGTTTGCGCCAGCGTGCGCGCTGATTGGCCGCATTTGAATCGCAACCGGCGCGCGAGGAGCGCGGAGCGCGGGAGCGGCGGCGCCCGCCCCGCACGGGACCCTCCGCGCGCGCGGCCCTGCCCGGCCACCGTCCGCGCCATGAAGGCGGTGTAAGTGGCACCCGGGGGTCCGGGTCCGGTCCGGCTCGGCTCCGTTCGGTCTGGTTCCGCCGCGCCCCGCGCCCT